AGATTGAAGATGACATCAGAAAAGGAAAAGATATGGTGAAACCAATATGGTCAAAATGGCCATAATTCCAAAACTATTTTACAGATTCAATGTAAGCCTAATGAAAATGCCAATAAAATTCCTACTCTTAAAGGACCAATACAGTGGTTCACAAATGAAGAAATATAAATGGCCAATAAATATGTGCAAAAATGTTCAACACTCTTAGCCTTTTGAAAAATGAAAGTCAAAATAACTTTGAGATTCAACATTATTCAATCTTAAGAAAGAATACGCCCCCAAAGAGAATGCCCATCATCAAGAAATCAAACAATAACAAATGCTGGGGATGCTGTGGGGAAAGAGAACCTTTGGTTCATTGTTGGCGGGAGTGCAAACTAGCACAACCACTATGGAAATCAGTATGAAGATTCAAAAAAAACTAAGAATAGAAATCCCATTTGATCCAACACTCCCCTTGTATGTGTCTTCCTTAAAGAGTTAAAGACATCAATACGTAATATAGGCATACTTATGTTTATATTGGCACAAGTCTTAATAGCTACATTTTTCAAACACCCTCTATGAAACAATTACAAAGAAAGCCCCAAAACCCCCACACAAAAGACAAAAAACAAACTAGGCAACAGAAGCAGCCTCTGTTCATCAACAAATGAGTGGATAAGAAAATGTGGGACTTATTTGCAATTGAGGAGTGGCTCTGCCACCAAGAAGGACAAACTTGAGTCATTTGTAGGACAATGGTGGACACAGAGACCATACCGTTGAATGAAGAAAGACCCAGAAGTGCCTGAAAGGTTCCAGACACATTGTATGCTTCCTCTTCTGAGTAAAGTGAAAATAAAAGACAATAGAAAAGAAAAAGAAAGTTATTGCAATTTAGCACAGTCAATGTATCTGAAAGTGTACTTTGATTTAGTATATATGTTTTTGGCATGTTGATCTGCATTTATGATAGTTAACTTTTTAAAATAATTTTATTGAGAAACAAATAGCCATGAGACAGTTTCAAAACCAATTAGTAGGACAGTTTCAATAATTAATACATTGTATATTGTTCTCTTAGTGGTTATTCATTGTACAAGATGCAGACATGATATCCTGTCCACAAACACTATTAGAACAAATCTTTCTATTCATTGAATTAAGAGAAAGTAGCTGTATATCTATCCTATTTTGAATATACAGATACAAAACGGTTGTTCATTTGTATCCCTTTTTTTGTTTAGCTTTGTCAGAGAAAGATATTTCATTGTCATTTAAATATTATAGGTTTGTGAATTCAGCAAAATATTCCAATACAGACCAGTAGTCCATAATAGTCGTTGGTTTTCTGTAAGACTGGCAATGTCAGAAGTTGTTGACTTGAGCCTTTTACAGCTCAGCATATTAATATGGTTTTACTTTTTATACTTCATTTTTATACTTTTCTGCTGAATGATTAAGACCAAGATAAAGCAAGACCTATATAACAAGAAATGTAACTTTTGTATCTGATAAGTCCAGTCAAATCCCCTCCAGACTTATCCTGAAACCTTGTACTGCACTTTGTAGATCCTTTGTCAGTGTCAGCCATGTAAATGAGTCATAGCTATTGCTTGACCAATTTGCTCTCTGTGAAAGCCTGAGAGAATGTTTTCTCTCTATGTGACTCTCCTTAGGCACACTCTACATCATTGATCACATTCCTCTGTGGCCCCATAATCTCCTTGATCAGAAAATTTGGGATACAACTGAGTTACATAATGTTACAGTGTAGGTTCTCCTATGTCCTGAGTCCTCACTGACCTTGAAAGGCTAGGGTCAAAATGTTGGCTGTCCTTGCATCCCTACTTTTTCTCTAATTTTTGGTCTGCAAACTTAAATTGTTAACCCTCCAGAAGAGAAGCTTATTATTATTACCCTACAACATAGGCAATTGAAAAAAAAACATAGGCAGTTGAGTTTAACCTCACTATCTGTCTGAATATCAAACATATGATAGTTAACTTGATTAGACCTTATAAAATAAATTTGATGCTGGCAAATTTTTTTTAAATGAGAGGCAGGGAGGGAAAAGAATGTGGAGATGTGTACATGTACCAGTTCCCCATAATGAACAGTCATTTGTACCACCTACATGTACTAATAAAAATTAAAAAAAAAAAAACTGAAAAATCTTGTCAAAGTAGGACAAGTTGGTGACCTTACAATTAATCCTAAATGGAAGAATTACTAGGAGTTTTCAAAGTTTCAAGCCCCATATTTGTTTCAAATCTAGAATTTAAGATAAAAACAACAAAGGATTTGGCTTCATAATCCAATATTTAACATTTCTTAACTGCACATCTGTAAAAATTCATACATTGGTTATTTTTATTACCTCAGTAATTATTTTAACTGATTGAAATTTTTATAGTCCTACAACAATAGGTTTAAGCTAACTGGTTGATCTAACTAAAGTTTTGAGGGAACCTTGCACTGATAAATGTTCAAAGCATTTGCAAATTAATAGCCCAGTGATGTCTGTAATGACTATAAAATTTTATTTGTAAAATGTTCATCTTAAGTAGGCACAAATCAATCTAACAAATATTTAGCAAACATATAATGGCCTAACTTAGTATTTAAATATGAGTTATAAAGTATTTCTAAGTTAAATTAGATTCTTCTGTAGAAAATGAAAACAAAGCACTGTTTTGGTCAGTAGTTTTGAGGGATGAGTTTTTCAAGAATATGATCAAAGCTACAGCCACTCCTCCAAATGACATGTGCTCCATATTATTAACTTCTATCTTAAAAGACAAGTGGCTATTTTTTTTAAAGACTATATTTTCTAGTCCCAAATTCAAATAACTGATTAGATTCTAGCCCAAAGCATGCAAGTTGAAGTAATGTGTGCAGCTTAGTGGAAAGGTCTATGCTCTTCTTGGTTGGAATCTGAACATAATTTTGAACAAGAATCACTATGTTGGGCCTTGTGATAACTTTAAACAGAAACCATAGCATGGTGAAGTAAGATGAGAGAAGCTGTGTTTCTTATATGAAGCAGCTCCTACTGGACCTACGCTGAGTACTAAGAAGAAACGTCTTTGGATCCTACACCTCGGTGCTCGCTGAATATGAAGAATAACATTTTCATATTGTTTATCTCTTTCATCTTGGATTTCCTAGTTTCTTGCAGTTAAACCTAATATTTTATTATAGTGACCTATTACTTTAGTCAAATTACCAACATAGATCATTGGAAACTGACCATAAGTTTTACATTGTATAGAACATTTGACTACTTTTAATATAAACAAGCATTAAAACAGTGCTTAGAGCCATATTGTTTTTGAAATTAAATGATTATTAAACTACACAGTTAAAATTCACTAAAAATACTTTGTGATAGGTTCTAGCCTGAGTACAAACTGCTAAATTATCACAGCCCTGATTCAATATGGCTGAATCCCGAAAGCAACAGCTTACCTTTCCAATGACCACTTCCTCCTTTCCCACTCCATCCTGGATCCCTTTCCTCACACACACAAGGGAGACCCCAGTCAGTTCCTTGTGTATCCCTGAACATGCCCCCCAGACTATTCCCCTAGCAAAAGCCCGTAAAATCTCGGGTCAAAGGATCCCCCTGCCATCTCCCTGCCCTCGGCCCTCTCCATGTCCTCCTCAATGACAATAAAGGCCTCCTCCCTTTCTTTTATCTCTGCTCCTCTGCTGTGCTGAAAAGCCTAACATTTTGTACTTTTCATTTGCTTTTGGCAGTACTGGGTATTGGACCCAGGGCCTCGCACATTCTTGGCAAGTGCTCTACAAGCTACATCTCCAGCACTGGTATATATAATTTTTAAAGAATGAGTTTTATAGTATTTGACTTATATCTCAATAAAGCAGTTATTTTCAAACATGTTGGACTGGAAAAGGCAGGCTGCAGGCGAAGTGCATGTCGAGTGGGGGAGCCGCACTGCCTGTAGAGATCTGTGGGGGCTGGCTGGAGTCATTGGCTGCCTTCCCTGCTGTCCTGCACTGGGTTAAAAACGCCAACTAACACCAACCATGAAAGGTCCATCCAGCAAAAAAGTATAAAAACGAAATATAAGAAGTAAAGCCATGGTGTTATGTTGAGCTGTAGGGGACTCAGGTCAACAATTTCTGACATTGCCAGTCAAGCGGAAGACCCAATACTATTATGGGCTACTGGACTCTTTTAGAATATTTTACTGAGTTTACACACCTATAATATTCAAATAACGGAACTTAACAAAAAAAGGGGATACAGAAGAATGTCCATTTTGTATCTGTGTATTCAAAGTGGTTAGGAAAGATATATAATTACATTCTGTTAATGAATAGAATGATTTGTTCTAATGGTGTTTGTAAATAGGATATCAAGTCTGCATCCTGTACAGCAATTAACCACTAAGAAGAATGTATGCAGTGTGTGAATTATTGAAACTGTCCTACCAATTTGATCTGGAAAAAAAAAAAAAAAAAGTAAGGTCCAAGTCGCAGCGGCACTCGTACAAGCATCATCGATGAAGATGTGATTATTAACGGTCATTCTCATGAGGATGACAATCCATTTGCAGAGCACATGTTGATAGAAAATGAGTAATTCAACAAATAGGAGTTGTGGGAAGAAATTATTGAACTCTGTTTCCAAGAAATGCTGAAAGAGGAAGAACAACATGAGTGGTTTATTCCAGTTCGAGATCTCCCACAAACTATGGACCAAATTCAAGAACAATTTAATGATCTTGTTATCAGTGATGGCTCTTCTCTGGAAGATCTTGTGGTCAAAAGCAATCTGACTCCAAATGCAAAGGAGTTTGTTCCTGGGGTGAAATACTAAAATACCTGAGTAGACGGGGCCCTCTTTTGGTGGATGTAGCACAATTTCCACACTGTGAAGGCAGTATTAGAAGACATAATTGTAAAAGCGCTCTCATCACTGTGTTACACTTACACATTGCCAAAGTTCTTGTTAGTCTTGCATGCTTAATAAAAGTGCTGATAGACTGTTACTAAGTAAAAAGCTGTCAAACATTTACTGAAAATAGAATTGGGCCCATGGCTTCATGTAAGGACAGCGAGGAAAGAAGCACCAGTCAAGTTGTGACAACGCACCAAATTAAACTCTAAATCTTACAAAATTGTCATCTTTGAAGTTAAACTCATCCCTTAGGATTAACTAACACTTGTTTATGTCTACACTTTGTAGCAATGAGTAAATTTAAATATATTCCAGATTTCTCAATTGCATTTGTCCTTAGCAATCCTCCTTCTTTAAGCATATTCTGATGGAGGGCAGCCTCATCTATGTAGTTTGTTCAAGGCCAGTCTGAACTATAGATAGCAAGACCCTGTTTCTAAAAAATCCTCATAGATTTTCCTTAAAAAGTCTCTTAATTTGAAATAATTCTGTCTTTGGTGACTGAGGTAACAAGGTAATGACAAGAAAGAGCTAGTCCTAGCCTTTCTGATATATAATCATGTTAGAAATCCTGAATTTTTCTGATGATACATTTGGAGAATATGTGATTTGGGAAATGTGGGTTCTGAGGATTCACCTCATCACAGCCATACTTGTGTGAAATATGTCTAATTTGGGACATACACCAGCCTATAATCCAGTTGAACAAAGAGATTGTTACATGATTTGAATGGTGCTTTTCCTTGCTTTGTTAACCATCCTGACAGTAGTCTGCAGCACAACTTTTCTTTTTAACAAAGCTAGAACAGTTTTGGCTTCTTAAACTTCATATTTGGGTAGGTTAAGCTGCTAAAAATGTTCAGTGTGAATAGTATTTAAGTTGAAAATATTGTAAAAAATATATTTTTTTTCAAAAATATTTTAAAAATAAAATATAACTAAAAAATAAAACATGTTAAAGCAAATCAATGAAACATTTTAATATTTTCAGGTTTTAATAAGCTTTGAACTTCATTAAAATTACAGTATCTGTGGGATATATTCATTACATGTGTGAAGTATAAAACTTTAGCATTTATCTAGATGCTTTAATTAGTGCCTATTCTGATATCCCCCTTTACATTTGCTTCAATTTTATTATTATTCATTTCCAGATTCAGGTTTTGCATTATCCTGCTGATCATTTTGTCATCTATTTTATCTCCTGAAGCAGCCCCTTCGTTGAGAACTTCTTCTGCTACAACAAAAAACTGTTCAGCTGGTTGAAGAATGCTTACTCCATAGCCATTGTTGTTGTAAATATGATTATTAGTCATCTTCAATTTGGGTGCTGGAAGAGCCTGTTAAATTATGTAAGGAAATTTAGTTTCCAATAAATCTGACAGAGAACTTATATGAACATATAAAATTACACCAGACATTACTCCTGGGTTAGCAAATTTCTTTAAAACAGTAAGATTAGTTTTGAACAAAAGTGGTTTCTTCACATTAATATTAAATACAAATGTTTAATGAAGTAGTAAATGAAAGAATAAAAAATAGTAAATAAAATTTCAAGATATTATCAGCTTTTGATAAAATAACTGATTCTAAATGGGGAGAGAGCCACAGCACATGAGGGTGACCTCTAATAGAACGTGATAAATATGAAAACAAATCTCTGCAGAGAAGGTGTGATATGGAAAAGTAACATAAGGCAGTGGGATACAGCACAGCTGGGTGGCGCAGGGAGAGGCTCCACTTAGACTAGAGGGCTCCTACAGTCATGGCTGTTTTGAAGAGGGGCAGTTATAGTCATATATAAATAATGGGGCGTTATTGGTCACCTACAGAGCTATAGAAAGTGTTTGAGGTATGGGTAACATCTAGAAAAAGCTCAGCCATTTCTGGAAACATGCAAAAGCTTGTGGGGTTTGAATGTAACGTATTAGAGGAAGAATGGAAGATGAGGGTGGAGAAGGCAAGGGAGAGATCTGGTCAGGTTTTACAAAAAGTTATGAAAGTTTATAATGCTTATTAAACTTTATATGTTAAGTCATCTGGAAATCTTATTTAAAATCAGATTCTGATTTATTTTTAAGGCTCAAGATTCTGCAGTTCTAAGGTGATTCCGTGCCTCTGCCCAGCACTCACTGAGTTGGCGGGACATGGTTCTTAAGCGTTGGTCAGCAGCGCCAGCAGTGCCTGCCAAGTTCCTAGAACAAGTCCTGCAAGTCCTACAAGTCCTCAGACCTCCTGCCACCTAGATTGGAAACCAGGGTTTGTCACTCATGAGTGGTTGTGACACATGCTAACATGTGAGAACCATTGAAAATACTTAAGAACAGAAACAATACTTAAGGCCTGCAATCTCAGCATTCAGGAGACTGAGGCAAAGAGGACTGCCATGAGTTGTGGGTGGGCCTGGCTACGTCCTAAGTTCAAGGCTAGACCTTGTCTCAAAAAGGGGAGAAGGGAATGTTTAAGGTAAACATTCCAAAACTGCCCACATGGTGCTCCAGTTACCATTTTTACAGTATTTCTGCCCAGTTATCTGATTTAGCATCTACATTCATGCTACAGGATGGGGTGGGGAGGTTTTCTAGTACAAGTTGAACATCTCTAATCCAGAGAGCTCTAGACACTTGGGTGCTGAAATGATGCAAGTGGAAAATTCCACCCCATGCAACATTTTTTCATGCACAAAATTACTTAAAATATTGTATAAAACTACCTTTAGAAAACATATGTTGATGAATAGAATGATTTGTTCTAATGGTGTTTGTAAATAGGATCACAAGTCCGCATCTTGTACAGCAATTAACCACTAAGAAGAATATATGCAGTGTATTATTTGTTGAAAAATAAAAAAATAAAATAAAAACAAAACAAAACAACAAAAAAAAAAGAAAAAAGAAAACATATATTGAACATTAAGAATTTCATCTTTAGGCTTGGGACCCATACCCAAGATATCTCATTATGTATATGAAAATATTAAAAAACTAAAAAAATCAAATCTGAAATACTTCTGGTCCCAAGCATTTTAGATAAGTGGTACCTTATGTGATTTACAATCTATTTGAGAAGACAAAAATGTGTATTGATAATAAAAGAATTAATGAAAGTGCCTTCTCAGGCAGACACAGGGACTAGGGTTCAATCTCCAGTGTGTTGAGCCAGTCCCGCCCTCAGGGCATGCTGAGATGGTGAATGAAACTGGGCATGATGGTGCAAGCCTGTAATCCCAGTGCTTGGGAGGCTTAAAACAGGAGGATCACTATGAGTCCAACCTGTGTAGTGAGACCCTGTACTAAATACATAATTAATTAACTAATTACTTAACTAATGATCTAGGAAAAGCTTTCTCAGGATAAAACTTACTGGCCACAAAGCCTAGCGTGGGACCTGGGAAGACAGGGTTTGTAGAAGCACAAAAGAATGAGAAGACATTTTGCCTACAAATCACTGTTGTTAATGTTTCATTATTTTGATTAAATCACTTTGTACAACTTTGGAGTGAAGTATTTAATATTTATTAGCTTAGTTTGTTTTACTTTTCAAAAGACATTATATATCTAATCAAATAACGCAATATATTATAAGAGCAAAACCAATCTACTTTGTCATATTCGAAGTTACTAAGAGATTAAATTGAAATTATTAAATCACAGAACTAAATTTGTTTCCCATCAGCCAGCATTCAATCACGTTTTATTTCCTTATACTGTTTTCCATATCAATAGCATTTAAACTAAATTTTAATACTAAAACTAGTATTTTAGTACATATCTAATAATTATTTAAGATTTCTATAACTTGTGTCAGACCTGAAAGTACTAACACAATAGATACCTTGACATTAACTCCACCCAAGGTGCTCTTCGAACTGTCGCCGGTCCTGAGGTTGTTGCAGTGATGGATTTCATTCCTTTCTAAAGTGGCTGTGCTGCCGGGGTACAGCTCAACACCAGCACCCTACACATTAGGAGCAAACACACAGGTCACTCTCCAAAATGCTGCTTATACTTGTAATTGTTTATTTTTTGCTGCAGATTGAACCCAGGGCCTCACACATGCTAGCCAGGTCCTCTACTGCTGAGCTGTATCCCCAGCCCCAGAACTGTAATCGTGTATTAGAAATCTAAACACTAACTGACATGGAAATACTTGACAATGTGTGCATCAATTTATTATAGTGTTTTTAAAACACTGAAAAATATCTGTTTCTGAAAATTAGCCATAAAAGGAAGGTGGAGGTCAGTCAGTCTGTTACCCAACTCTCTCAGCCAAATGCAATCTAGAGAAAGGAGCCCAAAAACCCACTAAACAATGTGTTTAGTACTGTATAAAAATTCACATTCACTGTCCTTCCCTAATCTGCTGATACATTATTTTTTTCATTTTAGTGGGGATTGAGAAATCATCCCAAAACGTGCTTGTTTTCCTACTACTTTTTAAATCCTTCTTATTCAATTTTCTAGTTCTTTTAATGGTCTTTGTGATGTTATCTATGTCCCAACTATTAAAAAGTTTTCAGAACTAATCACAATATCTTACAAGCAATGTCAGGTAGCTTATGAGTACTTATTTCTTTAAAAATAAACCACTAAATATGGGCTCATGATCTGATTTCCAATTTTTAAAAAATTATAGTTCAAACTAATGTCTTAGTTTGGATATACAGTTGGTTCTCTCTTCCTCTATGTTTAATGACACTCTGTTGATTTCTACCCGTTTTATTTTTTAAAGCAGTATAAAGGGATTTATTAGACAGAAATGTAGAAGTACACACTCAGAGAAATAGAGTACAGACCCTTGAGAGAGATGTACTTAACTCCTGCAACTGCAAACACTTAAGCTTCTCTTGAGAGGGCCAAGAAAGGTAGCCTACCCCTAATGGTGTACTGACCCATTTGATAGGTATGAGCCCAGATTTATCTTATTTTATTTTTTGTGGCCAGCTCAGCCTACACTGGGGGCAGGGCTGGCATGGCATGTGGTGCCGGGGATCAAACTGTATTCCCTGCACTTGCCTAAGCAAGCCCTCGCCGGCCCCCAGATTTACTTTTTTAAGATGGACAATATAAACATTTTTAATCCTCTCAATCTGTTCCTTTATCTTAAGGTCAGGCTCCTGTTCTTTCCTTTCTCAGTTCTACCGGTTTCTAAGTTGAAGGATATTTCCATACAATGGTCTTCTTACCCTTTGTATCTTAAGATCACTCAGAGTTGTTATCTATAGTTATGGAAACTCTCAGTTCTTATAGAATAAAATACCTGGGCACCAGTTATTTCACTGTCTGTAATTGTCAAAGAAGCCCCTGTAAGCACACACACTCCTGTTCCTTCGCATTTTAACACACAGTTTTCTAGAGTCGTGTGGCCGGACTCTACCACCACAATGCCATCAACGGTCCCTTGTTGTATCAAAGACAGATTCATTAGTTTCACATTGTCAGCTTTGGATACCACAAAACTGTCATGAGAAGGCTCGGAAGTAATAATAATATCCTCTCTCTTTCCAATTCCTGATGCACAGGGATAAAAACACAAATCAGTAATCCTCAATTTAAAGCTCTTTAGTTATTCAATAATACTTGTCGTATCCTGCTTTTCCTTTCATATACTTTTAACTATGTATTATATACTTTATATTTTAGCAATATCTATAATATATAAACTTAACAACTGTTTCCCTGTGAACTAAGTACATATTTAGCTATAATCTAAGTTTTGTTGTTCTCTTGATATCATCATGGAGAAATCTGAGTTTATAATCATTAGTCTAAATCTATCTGTAGTATTTATTCATCATACTCATTCCACCAAAGACTTCCTTATAATCAACAGTAATGTACAAAATGTCTAAAATGTTTTTTTTTAAAAAAACCATACCTTCACCTGATTTAAAAACTTTAATTATCATTAATAAAAAGGACTAGGGGCCAGGGAGATGGCTCAGTGGAATAAGCGCTTCCCTGGCAAGCGCAAGGACCTGAGTTCAATCCCTGGTTCTGCCAAAAAAAACCAAAAAGGACTAGCAGAAACTCTTAACTTAGATTAATGTAATCACACCAATAATTTTGCTCCATAATAGTAAAAGCAGTTATCTAAACTTAATAGCAAGTACAATACAGATGTTTAATGTTTAAATCATATGTATTATGCTTATTATAGATGTAGTTCAGCAAAGTACAACTCATTACAAGCACCACAATGTAGTGAATATTTGCTTGAATTTTCAATTGACTTTTAGTCAACTGGGTTTATTTTTTGTCAGACAATAAGAATATCCTTATTTCAAAGTTAAAAGGCAAAATCAAAGTTATTACACATATTCAGAACCTAAAAGTAACTTAATAAATTTTTCTTTTATGTTTTAAATTTTGTAAATCAGCATTCTGAGACAATTCTAGGTATAGCTTAATACAGTTCTCCATCTGGGTCTTCTTTAGCTTAAATGACAGCAAGAACACTAGAAATAGATAATAAAAAAGTTTTGGTAAAAATATACCCTACGCTGTGAGAACTAGAATCAGCTGGATATGCTGATGTACAATTCCAGGCCCAGCCATTTAGGAGGCTTAGGCAGGGTAACATGGTAAGATCCATCTAAAACAAAACTGTTCACAGATATCATCTGTGAAAGGTACATAGGGATTTTTGTGATATATAAGCTTCTAATTTCTAAAAGTTTCATTAGATATACTTGTAATACATATACTTGTAATACATGGCTCAGTACATTTTTTTTTTTTCTCTTTTTTTTTTTTTTTTTTGTGGAACTGGGGATTAAACTCAGGCCCTTGCACTTGCCAGGGAAGTGCTTATTCCACTGAGCCATCTCCCCAGCCCCATCAGCACATATTTCTGAAAAAGAGCTACAAAGATAATCTGCTAACCCTTTATAATGATGTCATCAGTCAGCAAAGCAAGATATACAGATTGATATTCTCCTGGAAAAATAACTACTGTATCTCCACAGTAACAATTATCCAAAGCCAAATCCAAGTCATCATGCTGCTGGAGAAGTGTGTCTGAAGACAAATCCTTAACCTAGGAAGAAAAAAATGAAATAGTACATCTTCCACAATAGATGGAAATAAATAAAATAAAATAAAATAAAATAGCACGACTTCCATAAACTAAAACATGATATTTTACTCAGATACTTACTGGACACATGATTTTCCCTAAGGATTTACCTACATAGTATTTACTTATCACATGGTCAAAGTGTCACTTGTGTCACTGAAAGGAATGATTAAATAACATTTTCTTTATAATCATTAGTTTTATAGCTATTCCGTAGTAAATATAAGCTATGTGCTAGAAATGAGCTATGTTCTAAGACCTCTCAGTGGAGGGAAAGAACAGTTGCTTTAGTAAATGGTAATAGGACAAATGAGTATCTACACACAGAAGAATGAAGTTGAACCCTAACATCACACTAAATGCAATTTTTTTTTTTTTTTTTTTCGGAACTGGGGATTGAACTCAGGCCCTTGCACTTGCCAGGGAAGCGCTTATTCTACTGAGCCATCTCCCTGGCCCCCAAGTGCAAAAATTAATTCAAAACCTATTAGTGATTTACTATAAAAGCTAAAGCCATAAAAAAAAATCTAGAAGAAAATATGAGGATAAATCTTCATGACCTTGGTTGGATTTGGCAAAGAATTCTTAAATATGATATGAGGAAGAAAAACAGGTAAGTTGGACTTTTTCATAATTAAATGCTTTTGTGCACCAAATAGTAATATGAAGAAAGTGAAAAGACGGTCTGTAGAATGGAGAAACACAAAGCACACATCTAGTAAGTATGGTATCCATAATTTGTAATGAACTCTTACAGTCAACAAGGAACAGGAAGACAACCCACCTAAAGATGGACATACGTTTTGAAGTCACTTCTCTAAAGATACACAAGTAGTCAACAAGCACATGAAATCATGTTCACATGAAATCATCATTTACTAATGAAAATCAGACTCAAAAGAGAGAGCACTTTCCATCCACTAAGACTATACCACTGTAATGAAGACCAGAAAAATTAGAACCTGATGCATTGTAGATGACAGCGTAAAGGACAGGGATATAGCTCAGTGGCACAAACACCTGACTGGCAAACACAAGGTCCTTAGTTTGAATCCCAGTAGAGAGGGAGGGAGGGAGAGAGAGAGAGAGAGAGAGAACCAAACACTAATATCACTTGTCACTTATGCATGAGTTATTTTGTTGAAAGCCTTATATAAATTATTTAAGCTGAACACTCTATTGGATAGATTTCATTATTCTCTCATACAGATTTCAAAGTACAAATATTATGAAGCAAAATGATGAGCCAAACCCAGATTTTTATAATTTCCTTTTTGTGTTTTGTTTTGTTTGAGACTGGGTCTCGCTTTATACTGTAGGATGGTTTGAACTCACTATGTAGCGCAAGGCTGGCCTCAGGCTCGCAGTAAAACCTCCTGGGATTATAGGCATGTGTAGCCACACCCAGCTAATTTTGATTTTTTAATGTATTTAGGACAGGGTCTCACTACATAGATCAAACTTGTAGTGATTTTCCTGTTTTCAGCCTCCCAAGTGCTGGGATTATAGGAGTGTGCCACCATGCCCAGTCTCAATCACTGTCTCAGCACGCCCTGTAGGCAGGGCCAGCACAGTAGGCTGGGGATCGAACACCAGGCCCCTGTGTCTGTCTAAGCAGGCAGGCACCTCAATCTGAGGAGCTATCTGGTCAGCCCTTAATTCTGATTGTTATGTTTAGCAGGGCATGGTGATAGACACTTGTAATCCCAGCTACTCTGGAGGCTGAGATTGATCAACATAATGAGGTATCTAAAAAAACAAAAAGACCTGGTTCCTCACTGGTATACTATACTGTCGATAGACTTAAAGAAGGACCACCACAGGAGCCTGCACTGAGCAGTGAAGAGACCACTCTTTCTTCCAAACCTAGGAGGACACGTGTTCGTTCAACTAGTTCACACCCTGGAATGAGGAGCAAACAATTACTGAG